GAAACTACTCCTATGAATGAAGTGCAGAGCAGGAATTTAAAATGCAGGAATGTAAAGAACAAGAATTTAAAGAACAGGAAATGTAAAGACTGGAAATGTAAAACTGGAAAAGAAAATATGAAGTAAATGACTGGTTTGTTGGATTTGAGTCTAGGCGTTTTTTTCTGGGACCTTCCCTTCTATTTATACTTCTCAAGGATGACCATCGAACTTCACTTCAAACCGTCGAACTGCTCCTCCATGATCGCTGATCATGCTGACTTAAAAGTAGTTCCACTACGCCATCACTTGCAGCTAGGCTTCCCTCCTATATTTGAATTTGAATGCGAGTAACCGTTGAAGCCACGTCACATTGCATCTCTTTACTGATCCAATGCTACTCAGATCACGTGAGAACCAATATTAGCTGCCACGTGTACGATCAGGATCAAAGACTTGAATAGTCTTCCTATATTACCCTTGCTCTGCCACGCGTCGAATGGTGATTGGCTTTCACAAAATATGTAGCCAACACTTATACACAGATATATGATTCCCAAGTGAATTGTAATTGGTAACAAATATATATTTTATAATTTTAAATTAAACAATTAGAAAATAAAAAGTCCATGATAACTTATAATTTTATATTGAATGAATGAAATTATTAAGAATATAATTACGCGGTGCTCCTAAATCACGGTATAATTTTTCATTTATCTCAGGGTTCTGATTCATGCACCTGGTTAGAGTAAGGCACCCCTCCCACATGTAAAGTGGAAATTAATAGGGGAAATATTATTGAGTGGAGTGTGAAAAAAATAATTATAAATTAATAAGAAATTTTATAAATATAAAAAAAATTATGAATTTATATATTTTTTTTTCTTATCATCATTGGGTGTAATAACCCCAAATTAGTATTGTCTTAGAGTAAATTTATGAAAAAATTATAAATGAGTGAGACAATTATAATTGCATTAAAAAAAATTGATGTAATTTTGATACACAATTTTTTTTTCTCCAAATATATGAATGAAGAACTTACATCATACATACATGAGACTTACATTTTTATAAAATTAAAATTAATTGTTTTACCGAAAAGTAGTTTTCCTAAATTCATGTAGTGTTTTTAGAGTGTTTAAAAAATTATTTTTGAATTTTGAATTTTTTTAATAATTTAATAAAGTATAAATTTGATTATGCATCAATCACTTAATGACACAAGATATTTTTATTGTTAACAAATTTTAAAAAACTAGGTTGTGAGTTTCAACCTTAGAGACCTCATAATATTTTACAAAATTATATATAACATAGATATATTAAAATATTAATTTTTTAAAATTTCTTTTCTTATTAACAATTCATCAGATTATCATTAACGAAAGTTAGAGGTTGCCATTGGAATAGGAATACAAATTTATACTCTTGTTCTTTTGTATTTTTAACCTCTTAAAAAGAAGTGTGAGAGATTATCATTACTGTTTTATTTTCCTTTATCTAACTCATTAAATAAACTAAAAAAATAATTTTTTTAAAGGTCTTATAATTCAAATATTAAAAACTTTTGAGAAAATTGGTGAAAAGTCTATCTTAAAAAATATATAACGCATTAGATTCAATGAAAAATCTTATTTAGTGATAACGACAATCCAAAAAAAGTTGTCAGAAAATTTTGTCGATGTCGAAAAAGTTGTCGGTGGCGATAGCTGGTAGCGATCGGCAGCAACATGCGGTAATAATGAGGTAGAGAAATGTGTGATATTTGAGAGATAAAATGTTAAATGAGTAACATATATCACACTTCAACAGATAGGTTATTTGGTGAATTCAACAAATAGGAAAATAAGCTTGGTAAATTAACAAGTAAATAAATTGAGTGATTGTAAGAGATAGGTTGATTTGATTTCAACAGGTATTGTCCTTTTAGATAAATTATGTCAATTTGACTCAAACAAATTGCCCAAAAACTCAAAAATAGACCAAATTCAAAAATTCAAAAATAATCCTTTTTTTTTTTTTTGGAGTGCTTGTACCAAAGATTTACAATCGAACCAAAAACTTTCTAAGTTGAAAGAAGAAAACTACAAAGAGAACAAAAACTTAAATAAAATAGTTTCTCAACAAACAACAAATAATCAAAAATTCATTTTCTGTCATCAAACTGGCACTCTAAAATCACATATAGACCTCCAACCCCACTTTAATAGCCAAATCAAATTCAAATTTATCCATATCACAAGAAACAATATTCATTATAAAAAAATAAAAACAAAAAACACGAAAGAGAAAGTATACCATAACCCATGGGGCCCATCGATATAGCACACCATATATTGACTAAGAATTAGAGACCTTTCTTTAAATGTAGAAATCTTTCAATCTATAGCATACAAGCCCTTCATTGAAGAAATTTAATATGGTGGTGAGAGGTCATGGGTAGGTCAAGCCCACACGGGGGATAGGAGGGAGGAAAAGAGATGGATTGGGAGTCGTAGGAAGGCAAGGGTGAGAAACGAGCATGGTAAGGCCATGTATAGGGCAGGCAGGCCAAAGGGGAAACAGAAAGAAAAAGCATAGGAGTGGGTGGGCATCGGTGCCATGGGTGAGGCAACCATTTGGCTACTGCTATGCTACGAAACAATAAAATCACTTATAATGAGATGAATGGAGCCGACATTACCAACCATAATTGGTTGGGTGGGAGACAATGTTTGCTTCATTCATCATTTTTTGTGCATCCTCATTCACCAGGGATACCATATGACGTGACATGAAGTTATTTGGAAACATTGAGAAATTTTTCAGCACCAATAATATTCTGATCTACGTACAAACAATTAATATAAAAGTTCTCACAACCAACTTAAAATCAAAAACATAAATTCTTGGATAAATTACAAAAATTAATAAATAAATTCAAGATTTCAATTGCATTATTTAAACCTAAATTGTTTATTTTGTATCAATATTAACTATTTGTCCATCTCTATTAACTTGTTTGATAGCAATAATAATAATAATAATAATGCATACGTGACACATTTTCATTCGCTCATTTCACTTAATATTAATATTAATCTTATATTTGAACATGATCGCACCATATCCCCTAACACATAGTCACCACTCTCGGCCTTCACCGGTCACCCCTTCGCTCAGCTCCACCATCACCAGCTCTCTCCGGCACCCCCTCTCTTAGATCCACAACACCAAACCCTTCAGCAGCAACTCCCTCCTTCAGATTTGCCATTGCCAGCTTTTTCTTGCCAACAATGGAGAACCCCCTCCCACGATGGTGAAATAGAGAGAGAGAGAGAGAGAGAGAGAGAGAGAGAGAGAGAAATGAACCATTCTGGTTCTCCTCAGGTTACGGTTCATAGTGATTTACTTGACTGTGAGGATCTTCACTGTGATGGCTCTAATCAATGATTGAAAACCTAGACCTGATGCAAAGATGTCCATACAACTAATAAAACTGTAATGATGCTGTTCAGACTACAAGATTGGAGTTGTTGAAGACTTTGTGTGTTGATTTGGCCATTGATTAGACCAAGAACTTTCAAAGATCTACTAGATAAACAAATATGAGATTGAGGATTGTTGTTATTGGGCTGGGCATCCAACAAATGGTTATGATCTTGTGTAGAGGTTCATAATTGTGTTGATGATGGATGGTTATTATGATGTCATCATGTAATGGATAGTTGATAAAAAATGATTTTGATATATGGTGTGGTCAAGTTGAAAATTAATATTAATTGAAAAATTTAGAAACCCCCTAGATGTTGATTTGTGATTATGTATCAATTTTAAGCAGTAAACAACAATCCCAATCAAACAATCAAGACAAATAGACACAATAATTTTACGTGAAAAAACCATAATTGGACACCTCCAATTGTGATAAAAAAAATCATGGACAACAGCCACAAAACAATCCACTAAGAAGATATAAAGGAATTACACAGGTATACTCTCAATTACCTAGCGAATCCACACCCGAATTGAACCAACCCTTATGTGCCTCTTCCAACCCCGTTTTCACCTCAGAATTGTCTTAACGATAAGCCACTCCAGAATCCACCAAAGTTTCAGGCTCGAATTCTTCAGAATCCACCGAAGAACAACTTTCTCTTTTGTGTAGAACAAACAAATAATCCTTTGATGTATACTCTTTAAACTATGAGTTGAATACTAAATCAAAACATCAAAGAAAACCAGCAAAATATCTCCAAATATGAACCTTAATATCCAAAAAGAAAATCTGGAGAAGTAATCCTAAAATCTGACAGAAACCCGTACTTATAGAAATCTGTAACTGCGAGGCTCACTCGAGCGAAGACTCTCTCGCTCGAGCGAGGAACCAAAAACGCGTGTTTTCCATAAATGGCTTTGCTCGAGCCACGCATCCTGCACTCGAGCGCACATTCACCTCTTTCAGATTTTTTGCCAGACGTACTCTTCGCTTGAGCGAGCAAGGGCGGACATGCAACTTCTAATGCAATTTTGCATTTTGCTTCGGGGGCGCTGCCCCAGACCCGCCAAGGGCTGCTGCCCCTTGGACCCCCGCGAGTTGACCGAGCAGCTCGATCCCCGTCATAATCAGCGAAGTAACAATCTTGAAAGTATTAACATCACAAACTTCTCTATAAGGCACAATTCGAGTTGGATTCGCATCTAAAACTCATATCCTCACTGAAATACAAGAGCGAATAAAATTACAACTGAAAGGAGTTTTGTCAAACAGGATTGCCAAGAATAAAAACCTAACATTAATAATAATAAAAATGGAACCAATGAAATAGTGCCATATGTATTGTAGAATAATTTATCTATTAAATTTATTAATGGAATTAAATAACTGATATAAATTGACGGATTAAATTGATGCAATTAAAACCTAAGATTTTTTTTTTTATTTATAATTTGCCCTAAATTCTTTCTACAATCAAAACCTCTTATATATATATATATATGATCCAAATACAGAACCCAAGCCAACCATACCAAAAAACAAACAAAACATAATGCATCCTAGCTGAGAACACAAGCATCAGTAAATGTTAGCCAGCCCAAAGACAACAGTCAAGCTCCAACAGAAAGAAAGCACACAAAAAACAAGTAAATAAATAAAAACTAGTTTTCGAGAAACCAACTAAAACACAAAAAACATCAAATAAACTCACAAAATTACAAACCAAAATCTCCCGAAAACCATAAACGAGCTTTGAAATATAGACGTTGTAATAATGTAGCATTCTATGAACTTTTGCTCTTCAACCTTATGCAACTTTTATTGAAATTCTTGGAATTGGCAACCTCATCACGAACCCGTAGTCTGACTACTGCATCTCCCGATGAACTTGAAAGTTTGAAACAGTCCCATACATCTGTATCACAGCCTATTAAAATCCACTCATTATTATCTTGATAATCGACCTTGAAGCTGCCAAGCTCTCCCAGTCTATTTGTCACTTCTTTCTTCAATTCAACAATTCCAGATGGTAGAGACAGACAAAATCTTATTGTGTTATCCCTATATCGTGCCTTAAACGTCACAGTTGTTGTATATTGCTTTTCTGTGATGTTGCATTGTGTGGGGAATAGTAGCCATGGTTTGCATTGGAGCTAGATTAGAAGGCAAAGGCATTGTCCAACTAGATTCAGAGACATGTCCCCCCATAAAAATTCCCACTGCTGATGTAGAGAAATTTCTAGAATCTCTTGAACTCCCCACATTCTCAATTGGCATCTCTGTCAATGATATATGCGGCTCTGTATGTACACAAGCGTTGGGATTTGGATAAGCCATCGATGGAATCAATTCATTCGGTTGAAATGCCAATTCAGAGGAACCCCCTGCTTCACCACTTTCTCTGTAGATAGATGAAATAGAAGAATCCATGGCAGGATAAGTACCAGGGACAGAATCTTGAAAATTAGGGATTGTTAAGCTCTTTTCATTTGAACAATTCTCTGCATTCAACAAGTTTGGACCTTTTATAAATTCTAGCACAATCCCATTTTGGTCCTGAATGTGGCCAACCATTCCATTCCCTACCTCTGTTTGCCCATTAGTTGGTGTCTTGTGGGTGGGTGACTCATTTTTTTCTCCTTGTGGTTCATGGAGTACACAGTCTCTTTCGAAAACTGAAAGAGAAAAGAAAAGAAATGGTTAGATAATAGAGAAATACATGAGAAGAAGAGAAAAACAATGATATTGTTTCTTCTTATTTGGATAGTTTAGGAGAGAAAAGTATGGAAAATAGTGTTATCCTCCTCTATTGTACAAAAAGATAAGAGGAGAGAAAAAGAAGCGAATGACGGTTATAGTATTATGTGGGATCCTCTTTGATGGAGCCGATTCTTTTGGTTAAAATGCCAATTCAGAGAAAGGCCCTGCTTTTGCACTTTCTCCGTAAGTAGATGAAATAGACAAGTTCATGGCAGGATAATTACCAGGAACAGAATCTTGAAAAATAGAAGCTGTTGTGCTCTCTTCGTTTGAATGATTCTCTATATTCGACAAGTTTGGGACTTCTTTACAATCTAGAACAATCCCAACAGTTGGTGTCTTGTAGGTGGGTGACACATTCTTTTCTCCCTCTAGTCCAAGGAGTATAGAGTCCATTTCGAAAACTGAAAGAGAAAAGAAAAGAATTGGTCAGATAAGAGAGAAATAAATGAGATGATGAGAAAAACAATGATATTTTACTGCTGATTTTAGCATTATTGATTTAAAAAAATATGAATTGGTGCACCTCTCTCAGTCTCATTGACAGATGTCTGTATGCCTGAGACGCGAGTCTTTGATTTTCGCGCGCAGTAAAGTTCGTGGTGTGGCGGCGGCTTTTGAAAACTGGACATCTCGGGTATGGCCTATTTTTATCCCAGTCGGAAATTCATTTTAGTTGCTAATTAATGGCTTTCCAAAATTTCGATCAATATTTTTATGATCGCCAGAGGGATTTCACCGGGCCAGATTGTCTTAGCTCATTGTCGTAACAAATAGGATGTGTGATGAAGAACCGCACGGATTGACAAAGCACGAAGACAGTTGGTCATAGCACGAAGATGCTATGTTAGCGACTTGACGTGTTTTTCCTTTCCGCTCAGAACAACGTCCAAAATGGTTACCAATCTGGGAGTTGTTTATCAGTAGTGAAAATATATCACGCAAGATTTCCAATTCGACTTATTACAAGTGCTTCGTCAGCTCCACTACCACAAACTCCTGCATATTGTTATAGTTGAAGAGAAAATGACACAGTTGTCTTAGCTGCTCAGGGGAAATTTTATTTCTCAGGTTTGTCCTCTATATTCATTATCCAACGTTATGTTATGTTAGACCTTCATTTTCTAAGGTAAATTGGGGTTTTTCTCTCCTTGTTTTTTTATTTATTTTTCCCACCACTAGCTCACTTATATTACAGTTTTTATATCAACTGTGTGGGATAACAAGCCAACAGAGCCTGTAATCCACTCCATATTGTGGATTGGAACAGTCCAGCTGGGCTCTTTGGAGCCAACCAAACAAGCCCCATCTGGATGATCTACTTCATTCAATTTTGTAGACCTATATGTAATCAGTTGTCATTGAAAAAATAAGAAAAAGTTTATTATATATAGTAAAAATAAAATAAAAGTTAACAGTTTATTTTTAAAAATTCATTCTTACCACCCTTCTTTTATTTTGTATTTTTAAATTTCAATTGGTCCAGCTTTCCTTCTCATTTGGGCATACGAAAGAAAAATAATCCACAAGGGACCAATTTATAAAATTTTGCATTTTGTCTGAATTTGTGGCCATTTTAATAAATATTTTATTGTAGCTAAGTTCTCAAACATTAGCTATATCATCCACATTGATGAAAATTTCAATTTTTAACAGACTTTTTAACTTTGATTGAGGTACAGAAAACATTATGCGAACTTTATCAGCTGCACTTTGAACTAAAGCATTAGTTTTCCAGTTAAGTATGACAAAATGAATGTGTTTGATAACGACAGTAAGCATCAAGGTTTGGTTATAAACAAGACTCATCAATGATTAGTAACTCAAATTTACTAATCTTCTCAATTGAACTTCAAAATTGGTTACCACGAAAGGATTCTTTCTCTAGTAGAGGAAAAGATCAGGTTTGAAATTACGGTGGAAGTTGATGCTACAAACATGGAGCAACATGGGTGTCAAGGCATAATGGAAACATTCCCTATTGTATCTCATTCAGAGAAACAAAATACGAAGACAAATTAAAGAGAACTTACAAAGCATTAGTTGTAATTACTCAGAGAGGACTTGAACAAAATTTTGGCCCGAGTCGTTGAAGTGTTGCAACAGTTTTGGGAGTAAGATTCTACACTTAATTAAATGCTGAAGCTTGCAATCTTGTTGTTTATATTTTTATTTTTCGTTTTTGTTTTTGAAACTTTTAAATTCTCTTCCAAGTAGAAAGCTGTATTGTTTTCTTTTTGTTGAAGTAATATAAGAATGTGATTCCCTCATCTAGAATTCTTGCTCGCGTGCAGTTAGCATATCTACATTGAAGCGCGTATGTAGGAAGCATAGGATCTCCCCGGTGGCCATTTCAAACCAGGTAACTCACTTATATTTATTTCTATTGTCAATGCATTTTATTAGGTCGAATTAGTTATGGAAAATAATAATTTTCTTACTGAATTTATAATTGAATTGTGGAAATCAGATCGATTACATGCCGATATGGTTTTTAAAGCACTTATTATTTTGCTTTTTGACAGATTTTGAGCTCTTTTAATGGCAATCCTCAATGATTGATATCTTTTATAATTTTATTTTTTTTCCCAATGAACTTCTATTTGGTAAACTAGGAGAGAAAAAAGGAAGATCGATGGGAAGTTATCAGTCCATCTATGCATGAGAAACATGATTCGAGGCCTTCCGATGGCATCCGAACACCCCTACATGGCTTAGATCTCACCTCGAAACTTAGACTTACTCTAAGATGGAGGAGAGATGGTGCAACTTGATTCATCAAAACACAACAATCATTGTGGAATTGATGTTACAAACAACAGTGCTCATCTTGTCAGGCAAGTCAGAGCTGCTCTAGCCATATCTCATTCAGGATGAGACAAATTCAAGAGAGACATTAAAGAGAAAATGCACATCAAAGAGTGTACTTAGTTTTTGAGGATCTACAACACATTTGATTGTTAAACGTGACAATGCTGCTAAGGCCCTTGGTTGTAAGCTCGTGCAATTAAATGAAGTGTTTGCTTTGAATCAATATAGAATCAGCCACTTATCTAAAGTCTTGCTCATGCAGTCAGTGTTATCCCACAGTTGAAGCGCATCTGCAGGCAAACATGGGATCTCTCTCGGTGGCCATCTCGGAAGAAAAAAAAATTGGTAATTGTCTCTCCTTAAGCTAAAGCTTCTACTAAATCTGGCCAAACTGTAGAGGAACGCATTTCAGTCCTCCATGCTCACTTCTAGTGCACTGGATTCAATTTATCAAAACTCATCACAGTATGAAAAATAAAAATAAAAACAATAATAAAAAAGCTCTGTCCTTCTTTAAAAACTTTTTGAATTGTTTAAGAGGAAAGAAAATTTGGAGCCAATGATAATTCTCCATAATTCAATTTTGAAATCTATCCGCAAGTTGGAGGGATTTGGAGAGAAAGGGAAAGGAAGTTAGCGATTTTTACAAAAAATGGTTTCAATTTTTACCCGTTCACATTATAGGAAAATTATTAGGTAGTCCTAAAGTATCATGTGACATTGTTTCAATATGGTGCTCCAACAACATAAAAACTGCAAAACAAATTAGGTGGGTCCATCCCCTATCTGCTAACCAATCAATTATTCTTTTGTTTAAGCTATAACTGTTTTTCATTTTCTTTTCTCTCCTATTTATCTTTTTTGTGCAATAGGGGGTATAAAATTCTCATTCATACTTTTCTTTCTAAACTACTCCAGAATAAGAAGAAAGATCCTTGTTTTTCTCTCTCGTGTCTCATTTATTTATCTCTGTATCTAACGCACTTTCTTTTTCTTTTTCTCTCTCAGTTTCCAAAACGGACCTATAGACTTTGTTTGACCACAGGGAGAAAAGGATGTGTTCACCCACCTGCAGCAAGATGCCAACTGAGGGCAACAAGAGAGGGATGAAATGGTTGGACACCTTCAGACCAAACATAAGGCCTGAACTTTCGAATACGGAATGTTCAATCCTGGTAATTATCCTACCATGAATTGTCTATTCATCTACACACAGAGAAAGTGAGAAGTTGGAGGTTTCTCTGAATTGACATTTTCAACTGAAAGGATTGACTCCATTGAAGAGTAATAACACATTTATCCACGTAGACTATACATCTCTATTCGTTCTTTTCTCTTCTCTTTATCTTTTTCATCCAATTAGGAGGATTAACACTCTATTTTCCCATATACATTTCTCTCCTAAACTATCC